CCTGCCTCTGCCTCCTGAGTGCTGGGATTAAAGGCATGCATTACCACACCAGGCTCTAAACCAGGTATCTTTCTTAATTTCTTCAGAAGTTACAAATGTACCATACTGATTTTGTACCAGCCATTTTGCTATAATATGCTGAGGTCTGACTTTTGTATTTAACATATCAGTGTTTGCATCTACTCTAAATATTATCCAGATGAAGAGATTATGGTTCTTAGTCTTCTATAGGACCAGCAAGTTCAATGATTGGAGGAAGAGGAGTGAGGTTCATCCTGTGCTCAAAATATCAATGACACACTAAGTACAACTTAGGTTATCTGAAAAATCATAGTGAAAATACACATATAGTATGTGTGTGTATAGTTGAAAGCTACCTAACAAAAATTCCAGTGCCAGGCGTGGGAAACCTCCCTTCAAGTTGTTGGTCAGATTAGTCCATGAGACTCCCAAAATAATTTAAGCTGTGACCAGAAAACTGTTGTCAGACTGTCTGCTGTCACCTAACCTCTTGTGCATCCTCTTGTTCTGTAGTCCACTCCTACCCACCAGTCCCGGGGAGCCCCCCATGTTGCCGGTATGCCAGTCTTCCCGTGTGTTTTCTCCAACACACCCATCCTTCCTAAACTGTCATATATCTGTTCATTCCATTGATCATAACGTCAAGAAGCTATTTTATTTTTACACTTATTTTTTAGACAGAGTCTCATGCAGCCTAGGCAGGCCTTAAACTCGCTACTTAGCTGAGTCTAGCCTTGATCTCCTAATCTTCCTGCCTCAACTTTCCAAGGGCTAGGATTATAGGTATGTGCCACCATACCTGGTCTAAGAAGTTATTTTTATGAGCAATAATTTAGACTAATAAAACACAGAACCACCAAGTTCTGACTGTTACTGTGGCATTCAGACAGATGACAAGATGCCTCGCGTTGCTTCATTAGATGTGACTTGGGCTTTGCAAAGAATTATGTGATAGAGTGACTATGTCCCAATAAATACTTGCTGTCTTGGTATTATAAATATTTGTGGCCCTTAATTATATCTTAGCATCAATTTATTTGGAGAAAAGTTTGGGTCATGGTCATGTGAACAAAAGAAATGGCCTACATAGAACATGAATGCCTGTGGCAGATAAAGTACAAAATCATTTTCCCTTCAACCAGATGACCCTCTTTATCTGTCATTAAGTTTAGTAAGAAAAACCAAGACCTTCCTTTCTAACTGATTAATCAACAATGTGTTGGGTTCTGGGCAGTGTGCATGTTGAATGAGGCCCACTTTTCATCCTTCAGATAAGTGACCAAAAAATACTGGATTTGACAAGAAGGCATTTGTTACGTAGACTGTGTTGGTAATATGTTAGAAAGAGGAAAGTATTTATTACGACAAGGATAATACATAAGGATCGATCCATAGAAGGAAAATGTTTAAGTCTTAAAATTTAAGGAGGACATGTACACCCATGAACGCGGAAGTCAAAGTGGAAGAGAAACAGATGAAAACTGAGTGTTTGTATTCTTATGGAAGGAATTGTTACCCAAAAGGTAAAGGAGAGATGTCCCCAAGTTATCTCCTCTTCCTTACATAGAGAGGACTGGTCATCTCAAAAGAAACAAATGGCCACGGCACTTGGCTCAGATAGATTGAATCAATGTCCTAAGGCTATCACACCAGCACTTGCTTTGACCTTGATAGTGACATCCTCATAATATACTTATTATGTCTCTAAAAAAGTCAAGTTTCCTGATTTACAAGCACTTGGCCTACATCCAAAATAAGTGCAAAAACTACCTTAGTGCATGGGAAAATGTTAAAATGACTTCGATAGATTATTTTGAAAACAGTCATTTCAAGATGAGAAGTAAACACAGATATAGACAAATAGACTAGAATCTGTCAAGTTAGATGCAGTATGTATCTGTCTATGGTCCAGCTCTTCCATCTTTTGACTGAAAAAATAGATTTCCCCAGTTTTCATGTAGACTTAGACCATTTACAAAATACATCAGACTATATTGAAACTCTCAAAGGTAGGAATGATACTTTTCTTTTCTTTTACCAGCACACAATGAAATTAGACATCCATAACAGGAAAACAGCATGAACATGTTTGTACATCCTTCTTTACTTCACTTGTCCCTCTTTCCTGACTAATTCAACCTAAATGGAAAGTTAGTGTTTGTCTGGGGTACTGATAGCCCAAGCAAATGCTTCCATATAACCACAGCAGAATTAAAAGTCAAGCTTTGGAAACGCATGCACATCTGTGAAACTGTACAATATAAAATCATGACTATTTGAAACTCAGATAAATTAAGATACAATAAAATTTGAGGCATTGTTAAATTTAAGGTATTGATAGGCTGCCATCTAAGGAAGCTGTTATCTTAATTTAGAACTCTGGTATTTATGTACAAAATATCTGGTTTCTTATAAATCCATTAGTTTACTAAGTTTTAAGACATGTAATGTTTTACATCTGATCAGAATTAAGGTAAGACCTGTGTCCCTGTGCAAAAAGTT